TACAAGTAATTCAAATGCACACGCCCCCACCCCCTTGCGATAATATAGCAATCATATTTTTGTAATTCTGTGTGCATAAAAAATTAAAAATTTTTAAATCTCTACTATTAAAAAAAATAAAAATCATTTTAAGCGAACAACCAAAAGGATACAAGTATTCGTGTCAATAAATATGCACGCTGTATAACGAATTAAAAATAAATTTCCCTTCCTATGTTTTACATGTACATCGGAACAGATCCTCGCGCACTTTCGTCCTTGGAAAATTTCCAAATAAGCCAATGAAATGTACCGGAACACACGGTTAACTCCTGTAAAAATTACCCGGACAGGCAAAGGGTTGGGCATCGTAGTCGAATCCCCGAGCGAACCGTGTATCAGAGACTAAATTGATCAGCAGAGGATTAACGGATCCCCGCGGGACTGAAATAAACGTCACGTTGTAACAGGCGAGTTGGATCACGGAACAGCTTAATGGTACGAGACAAATTATCGGCTATTGATAGACCCTTTCCTGATCTCGGCGGATTCGGTGGCCGCCGATATATAAATTTAGAGCGCCGAGTCCGATCGATAAATCTCGCGAGGTAACGCGATCGTTCGTTAGCTCGTCACGTAGCGTGCACGTTTGAATTTTGTATCGGCGACATTAACTTGCCAACCGCGGTGTCTCAGACAATCAATTTCTCTGCTGGCCTCGATTTCGCCGAAAATAATCCCACTGCCAGACCGTGGCAGCTTCGCTGGGATCCATGACCAGCGTAAAATCGATCTCTTCGAACAGGTCCTGCTGATATATTAAACGTTCTCGAATTGTTGCGTTCATCCTATTATTAGAGTCGAAGACTGTTCCCCAATCCTTGTCATCAATCTGTTTCCAGGCTCTTAGATGTCAAGGATTGTCTGAGAATTGTCTGAGGATTGCCCGAGGATTGCCTGAAGATTGTCTGGGGATTGCCTGAGGATTGTCCAAAGATTGTCTGAGGATTGTCTTGAATCTTAGACGAATGTACAAAATTATAAAAGAAAATGGAAGTGCGTATACCATAGCACCGGAAGTGCAGGTGACATACTGAGCACTGGTGAGAAAAGCGTGTTAATCTTTGACATCTTTGCGATCAGTGTCATCCGAGGTCTCTAAACGCGAAGTTTATGTCTTGGAAGATGATTGTAGGAATTACGAGAGAGAATAAAAGCGTGCTTTCTGTAGTACCGGAAGTGCACGCGACATATTGGCCATTCTCGAGGGAAACGGGTTGATTTCTGAAGTCTCCGAATACAAATGACACCTCTTGGTAGATTAATACACGGAATGACTGTAAAAGTTGCAAAAGAGAATGACATACGTGCTACCATACCGGAAGTAGGCACGACACATTGGTCCTCTTCAAGAGAAGGAAGTTAATCCCTGCAGTTCTCGTGATTTATGTTGTTTGAGGCCTCGGGGTACGAATTTTATCTCTTGGAAGACTAATACGCGCTGCGATTGTGGAAATTATGAAAGAATAGAAATATGTGCGCCGCTGCACCGGAAGAGGAAATGGCCGAGGTCTGCATGATCGATGGCGCTTGAGACTCTGGCGAAGATTAATATGTAGAGTAATTCTAGAGATTGAAAAAGAGAATAGAAGTATGCTTATCCCAGCACCGGAAGTGCAAGTATCACTTTGGTCATTCTCAAAGAGTGAAAGGTAATTATCGTGGTCTTTGTGATCAGCATCGTTTCAGATCTCTCGTGTAAACTATGCCTCCTTGGACCATAAAACGTGACGCTATTCTGAGAATTACGAAAACCGGAAGTGCAGGCGACAGGTTAGAAACTTTTGAACGGAGGAATCTAATTACCGATGTCTTGACGTCTAAAACGCAATGTATAAAACGTGTTGCGTTGACAGGAATCACGAGAGAGAATAGAGACATTAGTAACACAGTACCGGAAGTAAAAGTGACACACTGGACGTCCTTAAAAGCAAGAAGCTATTTATTAGGGCCTCCGTGATAAATGTCCTTTGAACTATCTGGGTTTGAACTGGGTGTTTCTTGGAAACATAAAATGCGCGGTGACAGGGAGAATTACAAGACAGAATAAAAACACGTGTGCTGCAGAACCGGAAGTGAAGGTGCTACGATAAAAATTCTTGAAAGGAAGAAGCCAAGAGATCAACGATGTTTAAAACTCTAGGTCTAAATTGTGTCACTAGGCATCGTAAAACGTTTAGTATCGCAGTAAGCCTGATTCTAGGATATATTTACTAATTTTGGTAAGAAGTTTCAAGAGGTAAGTATGGAGAGAATGATTTCAAAAAGGGAACACAACGTACCCCGATTTCGAACGTCTGGGGTCGCTCGGTGACAAACAAACGAGGCATAAATACAGGGTCGAATGGCACAACTGTCAATTTAGCTGTTGATTTACGACAAACGTTACAAGTCCGTCGTGGAATGCAGAATAAGACAATAACCAGACTTTGTAGCAAGAGCATACGTCTGACATTTCAGTTAGGCTCATTCAGAGTCAACAAAATGCCCAGCATCAAAGACACTGTTCCGCGTAACTCAGTCAACATTATTACCCCTTTCTCTAATCCCAACTACCAGGAGCCACGACTACTTCCAAAGACCTGCTAATCCCCAACAGTCAGGTAGCCTTAAAAAGACGCGACAATCGCAAATGCCGGAAATCGAAATCGCCCATAACAGAGAGGCTTCAGCCTTCGAAACACCTAATTCTCCCGGAACAAGTGCAACATAAAACGTCTCCTACCTTGGACTGATCTTGCAGCAGTTGTTCCCTCATGAGCTGCAGCTGCAGGATCATCTCGGATAGCCTCCGCTCCTTCTCCGCGAATGTCTCCGCGCAGAGGACCCTGTGCAGGGCTGACGCTCCGTCCTGCTGGGCTTGGCCTTCCGTGTTCTGCATCCTGCCAGAGGCTGGTGGCGAGGGTGGCACACTGTTCGCCACGCTGGCGACGCCTCCGCTGCAACGTACACCATCAGAGCACGGTCAATTACACTGCAGGTACACGCGAATCCAGCTAGCTTCCCCTCTAGTTCTGCATGACGAGCAGATAGACAGGATACGAAAGGGAGCACGGAGAAAGAAACAGGCATGTATCTCCGCAGACAGAGAAATGGGTAGAGTGGAAGGAGAGGTGGCTGTACGAGCACAGGTAGGTAGATCAGCCACGTACGGGGCTATTCGCGCGCGAGCAAGAGTTTCCACTGGCTCTGCTGGCCTCCGGAATGGGATAGTGGTCCGCGTACATAGGGCCGGGAGCCAGGTGAATAATAGATAGGGTCGCGGCCGCGCAATCACGGTAGCCCGAGTGTTTGCCCCCGTGATGGGGTGCCGCTCTAGCTCGTTCCCTTCCCTACCTATCCACACCCCTCTCCTTTCTCTCTCGTCTGCTCTGGCCTTTCGCTCGTCGTCCTACTCGCTCTCACCGAGGTTCTCTCGTGCACCCTCGTTTCTTCCGCGCCTCCCTCTGTGCTCCGGACCTAAAGTGCCCTCCCGGTCTCTACGCCCGGAGCTCTCGTTCCTCTCTCCTTTATGAGGAGGAAAATGGACCACGAATAAGTGATACGAACCCATTGTGCTGGCGCAAGAGGCAACGCGATGGGACGTGCAACGGTGGGACTGGCGAGATCGTGAAGGACATCGCGAAGCGAGGATAAGGACGAGGATTGAAAGAGCAGCGCCTTACGGAATCTGGGGCAATATATGTTCGTTCTCTGCCCTGAACAGTACGGAGTTCCTTACGGGGTCAGGGGTTAAAGGGATGGTCGAATTTTAAAGAGTGCTGAGACTGCTGGTGCATTCCGTGAGTGTGTTAGGCTTGCTGTTGTTTTTATTTTCGCTTTCTGACAGGTGCGCGTTGTTAGGGTATATGTTTGAGGAGGAGTGGTGAAAAAACCTAAACTATACCTTTGTTTTTCTTCTTTTCGAGATTAAGGTTAGAGTGCTAGATTAGGATCCCGAATTAAAAATGACTACCTGGGGTTGCGAAATAGTTATAAAGGAGTGGTTAATAAAACATGCATTTAATTTAATTTTGATCTTTCACTATTGATCATTGGTTGTTTACTCTTTTTTAGAGCGATAGGACTATTCCTTATTTTTAAGGGGTCATAACGCAAAGCAATAGTAGCCAGTGTGAAAACTGTATAGATATTTTTAAACGGGCGAACGGTTAGAACTGGCCTGTCTGTTTAGGGTCACGCAGATCAAAGATGTCTCCAGAAAACAGGAGACAAAAGACAAAATGCAGGAACAGGGATTACCCCTACATGGCTAGGATGTAAAGTATATTTTAGTATTTAATTTTATACAACAACACTTTCTGTTTTAACTCCTTGTTTTGACACTTGGGTTTCAATGGCGCGTGCCATAGTCAGCGGTAACGTAGGACAGGTCAAGACGCGACGGACACCTCGAGCCACTTCGTCTGAACGCGGCGAAGAATAACACGCGACTGAGACAGGTACGCATCGACGAAAATTCACAATGGGCCTGACCCGTGATGTTTGCACGGCGCCTTATCTAAGGACCATAACTCTAGCCGATGATACTCGAGTTTCGCCCGATTTGATAACTTCATTTCGTTTCTATAGGAAACTGTTTCTTTCGGCAAATTATATAGAGAAATTTAAAAATTCTGATACGAAATGGAAATTTCTAGAAATACCGTGTTATACGAAAACCGTGTTCGCATAGTACCTGTTACAAAAAGACGATGTGCACGCAGAGAGTGCTTCGCAGCTCATCAGCTGACAAAAATCTTGGTGAAGCGGTTACTGCGCGAAAAAAGGAAGAAAAGCAGAGAAAATATCCTTTATCCTTCCGCGGCGGATGAAAGACCCTCGCTTGTGCGTGGCTTTCTTTCACTACCGATAATAACTCTCGGTGGGCGGCTACAAGACTCTATTCGCGCCTGTTGACCTCGGTATCAGGCAACAAAAGGCTCGTTCTGTCGCTATTATCATCCCCCCTGGCGACGCGTACGGTTCGAGGGACTTAGCCTTTCCGGCTGACCAAAAATAGACCGTGTCACCCGTGTTGCTTCTTTTGTCACGCCAATTTTGCGACATACCGTTATTTTTGGCCAACGCCAGGTTAAAAATAAGGTCACCTACGGAGCTGAATGAACGATAAAGGGAGGAGGGGTTAATTTCGTCGATGAAATCCTCGTCGTCGATCAGCGACCCACAGGCTCATGCCAGCCAGATTCCGTTGGTCCACTGCACCTCCTCGATCAGACATCCACTCTAGAGCCTGATTAGTCTGATTCTACATGATTATGAAATACGATTTAAATCCCTGATAAACCTGATACCCAACCTTATGCAAGCAAAGTCTTTAAACATCGATTAAATGAATTGAAGATCACTAGATAGAAGGTCACTATTCAATACAGTGAGAGATCGTTTGATCTAGATCACGATTCATATCGCGAAATATATCTACTTTTAATTAGACGTATTATTAACTCTCTTCAAACATAATCTTAATTAGACAAATTTTTGTCCCGCATCAGTAGCTGTATAGAGGTCGCTACTGGGTATGCTCAATGGAACACTGTCTACGTTACTGAGATACTTGGACTATTCTAATTTCAGATGATGGGAACGCGTAATTTTAATCTGAGAAGTCCTTAACTATCCGCCAACATAATCTGAATGGGTAAAGCTATCAACTGTCATCGACGAATGTAGACAGGAAATAATTAAACTTGACAATAACTTGACAGTAACTGGACTGAACGTGAAAATGAAACAAAGTACATCATCGATTGCTAGTTCCACAGGGATCACGCTATAGGTCTTCCCTGATCTTCAAAATTTCAACAAAGACGCAAAGAATGATCGTTCACGCCGATCTTATGACAAGCTTACGAATAATGGCTATGTTCTCACTGTTCGACTTCTTTCCTCTCCTCTCTCCTCTTCTTTTCCATCCATGCTACTTTATCACGCGTGCTAACGTAATTTCGCTGACATACGTTCATTATGAAATTGATGATACTTTTATCTGCTGCGTGTACTCCTCGGTTTATATCATCGAACGCTTGCACGCGCGTGACACGCATGGTGGAAGTTGGCAAGCAGATATTAGTATCAAAAGTGGAGCGTGTAATAATAATGTACGGATTTTTCAGCTTCGCGTCTCTATTTCTAGACCACTCGCGTCCCCACTGGACCAAGCCTCGCTGCGTTTGGGCCTATCGTTCGCGGTCCAGCATGGAATTCCTGGCCGAAGAATGGACCACAGAGGCTGCACCGCGAGGCATTGTGAGCGATAATGGTGTATCGTTCTGTCTTTTCTCTCGCCATTGAGCTCGATATCAAACGGCAGCCAGAGAGGTTAAATTGTAAAGGAGCTAAGGCGTACTTATTGCCTATTGGCGATTCGTTTATTTCCACGATTTAATGATTCACGGTAAAGCAGCTGCCTCGAGGCGGCGAATAATGCCCGTGTTTGTTTGATGTAGTTTGAAAAGCCATCGGGGTATCTAAGCAGAGAATGATTACAAAATAGCAACGCTCTTGTGGCCGAACAAACGAACCTTCGATCCATCGTCATTCGAGGGGCTCTGCTCTCGATCAATGCGAAGTGACTGATCCCAATTGAACCAGCGTTTCATCCGGTGCTTCCGTAAAGGTCAAACCAATTTCCAGGTTCGAGTGAACGTTAATTGGTGGCCATAAGCATCGCTAAGAAGCATTGATAGGCTTTAGACTCGATAAATGTTTGATCTGATCGGGCTCGAGGATTCGTCCCTTGGATATCTTCAGTACGTAAGATTAAGCCTTGGATTAGTATTCGATTATAACGAATTTGACAACTGTCAAAATATTCTACTCGAAACAATACATTTCTGCCACCTCGAGTTAGAGGCACGATAGAATTTCTCAAATCTCCAATCCCATGATCTTCCACACCTTCGTGTTCAAATTGCAGTCATAAACGATCCAAACACTGTCAATCAAAAATTTCAATAAACCTAATTAATTTTCCCTCGAAATAGTATTCTAATCGAAACAATGGATTTCTGCCACCTCGAGTTAGAGGCACGACAGAATTTCTCAAATCTCCAATCCCATGATTTTCCACGCATTCGTGTTCAAATTGCAGTCATAAACGATCCAAAGACTGTCAATAAAAAATTTCAATAAACGTAATTAATTTTCTCCCAAAATCGAGGAAATAACAGAAAACAACCTCAAACCTCAAACCCTAACACTAACTCCATCGTCATCCTTCTCAATAGCGATTTCTTTTGTCCAAAAATAATCGAGCAAAAGGATCAATATTCGGAACCAATGACAACCAACGTTTGACACGTCCAGGTTGCCTTCCATCGATTTTGAATATCGCAGGATCTTCTCGAGCTCCCTATCATTCGTTGAAACGAGTATTTCTATCCCCACTCTCAGAGGGGTGCGACGGGTGAAGAATTGAACGAAGTCCAAAAAGCGGGTGAACGTCACGTAAGTGCGAGTCGTCGTACAGTTGGCTGAATTTTGGAAGAATTTTGGCCCCGATAACCGTGCGGCGTGTGGGCAGCTCACTGGCACGATTCCGTTCGTTCGCTCGCGTCTGCCAAGTTCACCGGTTCGCTTTCAATGGTCGCACGCCACCCCTGGGGACCGTGTTTGTTGCCACGTTTTCGACACTCGACGAATGAGTTGGATGCTACCAATCGAACAGGACATCGTGCGATTGTTTTGTTTTCACAGTGGTATGTACAAGTACTTTATGGATGAGTCGAGGGTGGTTGGACATGACAGTAGAAAGGGAAATGAGAGGGCTGTGGAATCGAGGATATCGACAGATTTGGTGGATCACTGTGATTTTAATTATCACGAAATTAGTTGGGTAGACATTTTTGTCTTCTCTTTGGGGTATTTTATATATGACTTTTTAAGTCAGTTAGGGTTTGTTGATCTTTGAACTTATTCTTGACAAGATTCCTGTGTT